GCTCGGTCGTTGGGTCCGGCACGGGCGGATGCGCGGCGCTCGAGGCCGTAGGTCACGAGCGCGGCGGCCTCGGCCGCGTCGCGGACCTGGGGCGGCGGGGGCCCCGTCCGGCGCGGCCCCAAAGGCGACGCGCCGCCGCGGGCGCGGCGCGAACGTCGGAGCGCCTCCGGGCGCCGGCGCGGACGACGTACTCGCGGAGGCCCTCGACGTAGAAGCCGAGGCCCGGGTGCTCGCCTGCGGCGCGCCGTTGCGGCCCGCGGGCTCTCGGGGGGGGGGGCGCGGGCGCGCGACGGATCGGCAGCGCGTCGCGGTGCGCCGCGGGCCGCCGCGGCGTCGCGTCGAAGGCTGGTCGGTCGCCGTCGCCCGGCGCCGGCGCCGGCGCCAGCAGGTCGTGGATCGTGTCGTTGTAGATCTGGAGGAACCTGGGCCGCGCGAGGGCGAGAACGTACGGCCCTCGGAGGCGCCCACTCCGGTCGCGTCCCGCTCGACGCGGCTCATCCTCGGACGAGCGATCATCCTCGGAGCGTCCTCGAGATGGAGACGCTTCCGTCTCGGCGTTCGCGGCCCACTCAAGTTGAGGCGCGCTCGATGCACCCCCGCGCGGCCCCGGGAGGAACGACATCGTCGCCCGCGCGCCGCCCGCGAGCACCTGCGGCGCCCCGGCCGGACGTCGCGGCGCGCGAGCTCGGTCGCGTCGGTGCCGACGATGCGCGCGAGCGATCGTCCCCCGCCGCGAGCTCGGACGCGCGGCGAAGGCGCCTCGGTCGACGGGGGGCCGCGCGCGGCGTCCCGCGCGGGCGCGCGCGCGCGCGAGGCTCCGGGGCACGACGCCGTCGCCTGCGCGGCGGTCGACGCGTCGACGCGCGCGGCGCCGTCGCGCGGCCGACGGGCGCGCGCGCGGCGGGGCGCGGCCGCGCCCGACGGCCGGCCGCGGGGGGCGCGTCGGGTCCGGGTCGGCGCGGGCCGCCGCGGTCGGGCGCGCCCGCCGGGCCCTCGAGGATGCCCATCGTGTGGCTCTTGCCCGTGCCCGTCTGCCCGTAGGCGAAGACCGTGCCGTGCGCGCCGCCGGCCGCGACGGCGTCGACGACGGGCGCCGCGACGGCGTCGAAGACGTCCGCCTGGCTGGCCTCGGGCCCGAAGGCGTAGTCGTAGGCGAACTCGCGCGCGCGCTTTTTCCCGAGCTCGAGGCGCACGACGGCCTGGCCTTCGCGCGCCTCGACGACGGACACGGCCGGCCGCCAGCCGCCGCCGCCCGGCTCCTCGGCGAGTTCGTCGGCGATCTCGTCCTCGAAGGGAGGACGGATGCGCACGCCCACGCGCACGTAGTTGGGCGCCATCGGCGAAGAAGCGACCGGCGCCGATGCCCTCGCGGAAACCGGAGGTTGCAGTAAAGCTGCCGACCTGGTTCCTCGACGCCTGCTTCCGCACGGCCGCCTGGTTCCTCGACGCGTGCCGCGGCGCCGACGCGATCCGCGCGGGCGCGCAGCCGTGAACGTCGCGCGCCGCGAGGCCGCCGCGCCGGCGGGGCTGCCGGCCGGAGAGCATGAACTGCTTACATCAACATCAACTAAGTCTTGTGGTAGGGCTGCTCCCCGGGCTGCCCCAAAGTGGCCAGAACTGCCGACTCGGCGAAATATCGCAATTTTCGGCGCGCGCGCCGCGGTTCGCGACTTGCGGGCCGCGCGAGGTGTCCAGGGGATGCGCACAAGTATGCCGCGTCCGCCGGTATCGCCCCGGGCGATCGCCGGCGGGGGCAACGAGGATTGTTTGCGGGCGACCGCAGGCAGCGACACCCACTTGCCAAGCAAAAACGCGACGTCGTGCGCCGCAGAGTCCCATGGGGTTGAGAGTCGGACCGTGCTGCGAGCCTGGGGTAAGGCGAGGACGCGCGCAAATCATCGAGCGATAGCAGTCTTGAAGAGCCTCGCTTCGGCGAGCGCGCTCTCGATGTCTGCGCCGCGTCGATGGGCGCGCCGGCGACGCCCTGGGGCCGCCGGGGAGCCGGGACGCGGGGACGGTGTGCACCCGGAAGCGGCGCGGCGACGACGGGGCGGCGGCAACGAAAGCGGCGGGGCCGTCCTGGCGTCCGGGCGCCCGCCGCCGGAGCGCCGCGCCGCCGCCGCCGTCGCCTCCGCGCTGCTCCCAGGAGCGCCGCCACCGGTGGCGCGCTCGAGCACCGCCGCCGACGAGAGGGGGGCGCCTCCTCTCCGCTTACCGCGCGCTCCGTTTCTCGACCGCCTTCCTCCCCGCAGGCGCACGAGTGCTCGCTGTCCACATCGATATGTTTCGCCGCGCCGCCGCCGTCGCTCGCGTGGTCGCCCGGCCGGTCCCCTCGCGCGCCGTCGCGCGGTCGCTCGCCACCGATACGGTGCGCGCCGGCGACGCGCTCCGGGCGCGCGCGCCCCCGGCGACGCCGACCCCCCGCCCCCGCGCCCGCAGTTCCTGGACAAGGACGAGGCGGCGGCGCGCATCATCGACGTCGTCAAGACCTTCGAGAAGGCGCGCCCTCGCGCGCGCCCGGGGCGCCCGCCGCCCACGCGCGCCGCCCGCAGGTCGAGCCGAACCTCGTCACGCCGACGGTCGCGTTCAAGGACCTCGCGCTCGACTCGCTCGACGTCGTCGAGGTCGTCATGGCCGTCGAGGAGGAGTTCGCCATCGAGATCCCGGACGCCGAGGCGGACAAGATCACGCGCGCGGCCCGCGCGCGCGCCGGTGCGCCGGCCTGGGGCGACGCCGAGCCCCGCCCGCAGGTCCGTCTCCGACGCCGTCGACTACATCAGCAGCCACCCCATGGCGAAGTAAGACGCCCGCGGCGCGACACCGGCGCGCGCGCGAGCACCCGGTGCCAGCGCGCGCGTAGGGACTGGCGACTCCAGCGACGAGGCTGGCTGCATCTCAATCGCAGGCGCCCTAGAGCCTAGGTTCCACTTTACTCCAGAACTGCCGCCGCTCCGGAGCGCGCGCGCGGGGCGGTGGGAGGCGTGGCGCGGCAGGGAGGCGCGCGACGCGGCTCGCCGAGACCTCGAAGGTCTCGGCGGAGCCGCGCCGCGGGGGGGGGGAGAGGATGTGTCTCTTGGGGGAGGGCGCGCGAGGCCAGTGCGAAAAACAACCGACGCCCAGACACGCCCGTACGAAATAAGAAAATAATATTTATTAATTAAATCCGGCCAGCGGCCGGAGGGACGTGTACTACACCTGCTGAAAATTTGCCGCGCACGCGCGCGCGCGCGGGTCTAGTGCGGGTTGAAAGTCAACTTTTCGCGAAAAACGATCCTCACGCCCGAGTGTCTCAAAATGTACGACGCTACCGCACTCCCCGTGCCGCACTCACAACGCCAGCCTCGGCGAAAGGACCCCACGTTCGAGCGGTCAACGACCCCCTAACTTCAACTTTTATGTTGAGCTTGGCAACTAACCAAGGTCTTCAGAAAGCAGGTTGGCGAGCCGCCAGCTAATCAGACCATTGCCACCATGGCGGAACTCGTGAAACACGCCGCCCAGGCGGGGCTCGAGAAATCCGAAGCGTTGCTGAAGGAGGGGAAATTCGAGGAGGCGGCGGCCGCCGCGGACGACGTGCTCCTCGGAGCCCGCCTTTCGGTCCTGTCGAACACGGCCCTCGTCCGGGGCCGCGCGCTGCTCGCGCCGCTCCTTGCGCAGCTCGAGGACGAGAGCAAGCCGGACCCGGGGTCATGTTCCAGCTGGCCCTGCGCTTTGTGCCCGAGAACGAGGACGCGCAAGAAGAGGTCGCGCGGCTCCAGGGCGTCGTCTCCGAGCTGCCGGAGGAGGATGCGCCCCAGCCGCCGGCGAACCACCCCGAGCCCTACGACGTCGTCGTCGTCGGCGCGGGCGCCGCGGGCGTCGGCGTCGCGCTCATGCTCACGGGCGTCTTTGGCCTCGACGCGGGCCGCGTGCTCCTCGTCGAGCGCGGCGGCGCCGTGGGCGAGACCTTCCGCCGCTGGCCCAAGGAGATGCGCTTCATCTCGCCGTCGTTCAACAGCCAGGGCTGGACCCAGTCCTTCGACCTCAACTCCGTCGCCTACGGCACGTCGCCCGCGTTCACGCTCCACGCGGAGCACCCGACGGGCGCGCAGTACGCGCGCTACCTCGAGGCCCTCGCGGAGACGAACGAGCTCAACGTCCGCGCGGGCACGGAGGTCACGGCCGTCACGCCCCGCGACGGCGGCTTCGACGTCGCCGTCGTCCCCGCGGCCGGCGGCGTCCCGGCCGTGATCAAGACCCGATACGTGGTCTGGGCCGCGGGCGAGTTCCAGTACCCCCGCGCGTCCGCGGAGCCCCTCTTCCCGGGCTCCGAGCTCTGCCGCCACAACTCGAGCGTGCGGTCTTGGAAGGAGCTCGAGGGGGACGACTTCGTCGTCGTCGGCGGCTACGAGAGCGGCATGGACGCGGCGTCGAACCTGTCGCTCTGCGGCAAGCGGTGCACCGTCGTCTCGTCGACGGCCTACTGGGACGTGTCGACGGAGGACCCGTCGAGCGAGCTTGCGCCCTACACGGCGCAGCGCGTCCGCGCGGCCTGCGCGTCCGCGACGCCACCGAAGCTCCTCGCGCCGCTCCGCGTCTTCGCCGTCGACGCCGCGGCCGGCGGCGGCTTCGCCGTCCGCGCGCGCTGGGGCGACGCCGTCGAGCACGAGGGCGGCGACCACCGCGAGCCCGTCCGGCCGGCGGCCGCCGCCAAGGCCGCCGCCAAGGCCGCCGCCGCGGGCGGCGAGGTCGAGCTGCGCACGCCGCAGGCGCCTCTGCTCTGCGCGGGCTTCGAGGGCGGCGTCAAGCTCGGCGTCGCCAAGGACCTCTTCGCCTGGGGCGACCCGGCCGTGGGCGACGACGACGAGGAGGAGGACGACGACGCCGAGGGCGAAGGCGACGACCGCGACGGCGACGATGACGGCGAGATGAGCGACGAGGGCGACGAGAAGAAGGGCGGCGGCTGCGCCGACGGCGCGCCGCTCCTCAACGAGTACGACGAGAGCACGACGACGCCGGGCCTCTTCCTCGTCGGCCCCGCGGTCATCCACGGCGACCTCTCCTTCTGCTTCGTCTACAAGTTTCGCCAGCGCTTCGGCGTCGTCGCCGACGCCATCGCGAGGGGCCTCGGCCGCGAGACCGGCGGCGCTGTAGAAGCCGCGCGCTGTGTGGAAATCAACCAGTGGAACGCCCTGTCCAGCAAAAACTTCAAACCACTCTATCTCGATCAAATCGAAGTCGATTCGGCTGATTCTTGGACGAATCGATTGCTCTCGTCGAGTTACCGAAGCACAGCCGAAGAGCTTGCATCGAAACTGTCGCATACGCGCACGTTGAAGTCGGGTTGAAGATTTGATTTCCACACAGGCCGCGCGCGATATGAACATGTACATGGACGACTTCGAGTGCTGCAAGGCCGCCTGCGGCGAGGCCTGCTGACCGCGCGAGACGCGCCGCTCGACCCCCCCGACCACCCAGTCCTCCCCACCGTGACCAAGTCCTCCCACGAAGATCTCTGTCTGCGGCGTCGTTGGCATGCTCGGATCGGAGCCCGCGCCCCCCACCCACCAACACCAGTGAGATACTAATAACCTACTAATAACATATGTGGCTGTGTTGACTACAGCCTGAGGCGGCTATATATAAAACGGTACCTAACCTAGCCTGAGTACGGTACCCGGAGGATTCAGAGTCCCCGGCGATGCTCCGATGGTCCCAGAACCTGCTGATTTTGCGCACACGCCGAGGCCTGGAGTCTATTGCCTTCGCTTAGGACTGAGGGGAATAGGCTTCTGCCACGTGCCCGGCGGGGCGGAGGCGAGCCAGGGGCGAGGCGGGGAGCGAGCCGGGGACCTAGGGGCAGGCAGCCGGGAGGCTGCCCTTGAGTATGGAGGTCGATGGTGAGGTGGCCGGAGGCCATCCGAGGTCCAACTGTACGCAGATTCCCTGCAACTAGAGCACGTATTGCGCCGTTTCCTGCACGTTCTTCGGGATGCAGATATCTTGCCATCAGGCCTTCTGGTCCAAATCTCGTGCCGGCTGGTTTGTCATTGTCCAAAATTACAATGTGGTCGTAAAAACCAGCCATGGCACTTGTGTCTGGGTAGGTGCCAAACAGCGCGTAATGTGGCGATATTTTGTAACGGTGAGGTACTCGTATGTTCAAAGCAGCTGTGGCCCATATGAGGCAGTCCTCCCATGCGTTCTTCGGTGCGTGTAGCATGGCGGGTCGCATGATGGAATACAGTTGCTTGATGACTGTTTCGGCCTTCGATGCGTGAAGTTCAGGTACCCTGACGCGATGTTCTATCTTGAACTCAGCGTAAAGCTGGTCGGCGTTGGAGCCGTGAAAGTCGCCGCCGTCAGTGATGAGTAGTCGGATGTCGACTGAGGACGCGCGGAGGGAGATGAGGATCTCCCGCAGCTTTGGTATGGCGTCGCTCTTTTCGCGCATGGTGGCGGTCATCACGTAATTCGGCACTGGGGCCCCTTTACGCCCGCCGCGGTCATGCGGTCCAGGAGGCGGTCGTACTCGTTGAGTAGCACCGCGGGTTCCTCCTTCGTGGACATGTCATTGAAGCGCGGTTTGGGAACTTTGACGCAGTGCGTAGGCATTTCGAGTGAGCTTGTACGGAGTGCCTTCGCGCGGTGCGTGACCTGGTAACTACCGCGCAGTTTGGCGAGGCCTTTGGCGCCGAGCGTGTCGAGTCCCCTCAGGCTTGCGGCGCCTCGTGCGCGACGCGACGCAATCCTGGGGGTTGACATCTCGCGGGGAATGTGTCGTCGACAGGCTTCCGATCCTCGCCGCAGCGGGCCCCGGGGGTTGTCTCTTGACTCGGCTAGGATCACATGAGAGGATACCAGTCCCCCGTATCCTCCTCCTCAGGCTCCTTAACCTAGCCTATAACGCCAGTGCTATGGTTCACCTCATCTGGGGCGCGCTCGCGCCGCGCCGCAGGCGAGCCCCCCCGGCAGGGGCAGAATTTTTTAAAGATGCCGTAGGCGTCTATAATATACTATTTTGCAGTCGCGCAGATCGTCCGTCCGAGCAGCAACATAAAACTTCAATGAGTGGTTTAAAGCGCATCGTGCAACCTCAATCAAACGAGTGGTTTAAAGCTGCGAGCTTGCCGCCGTAGGTTCATTCGCGGCCGAGCTTAACCGAGCGGGCTCGGCCGCGCCTCCGCGCGCGAGGTCCCGAGTCGGCGTCGCCGCCCGTCCCGAGTCGGCGTCGACCTTCGCCGGCGCGCGCACCCGTCGCAGCCGCCCCCACCACCGATGGGAGAGGCAGAGGCGGAGGCGAGGTGAGCAACCTGTTGGAATCAACGCCGCAACGCCGCCATACGCATTGCCATCTCCATAGCCATCTCGAAGAATTGGGCGGCGCGGAACGACTTGAGCTTCTCGAAACGGCGGCATCCCATGGCCTTCAAGGTGTCGCCCGTGGCAATCCTCGAGCTCGCGGCGCTCGAGGAGGAGGCGGCGGCGGCGGCGGCGGAGGCCCCAGCCTTCGCGGCACTCGTCGCGGCGGTGGCCGCCGGGGGCGTCACGCGGCGCATCGCCGACAACATCGCCACCTACGACCTGTCGTCGCTGCGCGGCGGCGTGTCGTCGCTGCGCGCCGCGGTCGACGGCGCGGCGGCGGTCGCAGCGCCGCGCGCGCCTGTCGATGCGGACGCGGTGCTCGGTCGGCCGCCGCCGCGGCCCGGGCTTATGTCGCTCGCCGAGGCGTGCGGCGCGCTCCTGGGCCTGCGCGTCGCGCTCGTCGCCTGCGTCGACGGCGCGCGCGACGGGTCGGACGCGCCGACCGCGCCGGCGGGCGCCGCCGGCGGGCTCGCGCGCATCGAGGCCGCGCGCACCGCGCGCCTCCGCGCGCTCGCATCGCTCCGGCGGCTCCCGCGGGCCGCGGCCGAGGAGGTCGACTGCGCGCGGGCCTTCCTCGACGAGCGCTGGGTCGCGGCGGACCTGCGGCAGACCATGGAGGGCTGCCTCGAGGACGCGCCGCTCCCGTTCCCGAGCGCCGCGGCGCGCGCGGAGCTCGGCGCGCACGCGGCGTTCCGCGCGGCCGAGGCCGACGTCACCGCGCGCGCGGCGCTCCGCGCGTCCGGCGGGCGCCTCGAGCTCGCGTTCCTCCGCTTCCGGCGCCTCGAGCGCGACGGCGCGGCGACCGCGGCGACCGCGGCGCTCGCGGCGCTCTGCCGGCGCCACGCGGCGCTCTGCCGCGCCGTCGCGCTCTCCGACTGGGCGGCCGTGTCGCGCGTCGCGCGCGCGGCGCCCGGGACCCGGACCCGCTCGGCGCGCCGCCGCGGCCGCCCGCGCCGGGGCCGCCGCCGCCGCCGCCGCCGCCGGGCCGCGACATGGACGACGCGGACTGGTGCGACGCCTGGGGCTTCGTCGCCGACGACGCGCGGCGCAAGTGCGCGCGCGCCGAGCGGCGACTGCTCTTGCATCTTCCCGTGTGTCCTTGTCGCACATGTTGGCCATGGATTGATTATCTTCGTAGGCGGCTCTACGACGAGGTGCTCGTGCGGTCGGCGACGGTGTCGGACTTGCCCGACGACGGGCCGCTCCGGCGCCTCGAGGCCGCCGACGACGGCGGCGACGGCGCCGCGCGCGCCGCGGTCCGCGACCGCCGCGTCGTCGCGCGCTGCGTCGTCGCGCTGCGCCGCGCGGCCGCACGCGGCGCCTGGGAGGCGAGCGACGACCCGGCCGACGTCTCCGTCGCCGACGCGCTCCACGCGCTCCTCGAGGGCGCGCCGGACGCGCTCGGCGCCGCGAGCCGCGCGGTCGCGACGCTGCCCGCGGAGCTCAAGCGCGCCGAAGACGAGCTCGCGCGGCGCGCGGGCCTCCGGCGCCTCGCGGCGGATCGAGCGGCCGTCGCGCTCCGCGCGCGCGGGCCGGGCGAGGCCTACCTCCCCGGCGTCGGCGACGGCGGCGGCCGCGCCTTCGGCGCCGGCGCCCGCGCGGACCGCTGGTGGGACGTCGACGCGCTGCCGCCGCGCGAGCGCGCGGGCCTCGGCTACGACGCCGCGGGCGCCGCGGACGCGCTCGCGCTGCGGCTCGGCGACCCGGTCCTCGGCGCGCTCGCCGCGCGCGAGCGAGTCCTCGTCGCCATGCGCGCGGCGCACGGCCGCGGCGACGAGGCCCGCGGCCTGTGTGCAAATCAAATCTTCAACCCGACTTCAATGTGCACGAATTCGAATCTTCGGCTCTGCTTCGAGAACCCGACGAGAGCGATCGATTCGTCCAAAAATCAGCCGAATCGACTTCGATTTGGCCGAGATAGAGAGGTTTGAAGTTTTGCTGGACGCGTCCATTCCACTGGTTGATTTCAGGACCTGCTCCGCTACGCCTACGCCGAGTTCCGCGACGTCGCGGGCCTCGACGGCGCCGGCGCGGCCGAGGCCGCGGCCGCGGGCGCGACGCGCGCGGGCGCGGGCCAGCTCCGCGAGGCGCGCGCGTTCGCGCGCGAGCTCCGCTTCTTCGACTGCGCGCGCGCGTGGGACGCGGCGACGCGCGGCCTCCGCGGCGAGCGGAGCGCGTGGCTCCTCGGCGGCGGCGACGGCGACCCGCGAGACGGCGGCGATGGGGATCCGACCCGTCTAGATCTCCGCGCGTTGAAATCCGGCCCCCTCGTCGACGGCCTCGCGCGGCTCGCGCGGCTCCTCGAGGCCGACGGCGCCGCGGGCGCGTCCTGGGACGGCGCCGACGACGACGACGACGACGACGGTGCCGGCACCCCGCCCCTCCGGCGGCTCCAGCGGCTTCGCGTCGCCCGCCGCGTCGTCTCGGACCTCCGCGGCGCGCTCGCGGCCGTCGGCGACGAGGACGCGGCTCTCGCGGGCGCCGGCGCCGCCGCCGCGGCGGCCTACTGCGGCGCGACGAGCGCCGGCGTCGGGCGCCTCGTCGCCGCCGCGCGGTCCGCGCTCGCCGCGCTCCGCCACGAGGCCGCGCGCGTCGACGACGCGCACCGCTACAAGTTCCTGAACCGCGGCGCGGGCGCGGCGCAGTTCGCCGTCGAGCGCGAGGCGCGGCGCCTCCTGGCGCCGGCGCTGCACGCCGCCTGCGCGGCGATCTGCGGCGGGACCCCGCCCGCGGGCGCGGCGCTCGCGGACGCCGCGCGAGCGCTCCGCGGAGCGCGCTCCGCGGCGCGCGCGGCGCTCGCGGACCTGAGCCTCGGACCCTGGCGGACGCGCTACACCGAGCGGCTCCTCCTCAGTGCGCGGGCCCTCGCGGCGGCCCTCGACGGCTGCCGCGCGGCCGAGGCCGCCGTCGCGTGCCTCCGGCGCGGCTCGCGCGAGCCCGCGGTGCCCGACGACTCGGCGCCGCCGCCCGGCGCGGCCGCGCGGAGCGACGGCTACCTCGCGGCGCCCGGCGGCGCCACCGGCGCCGTCCGGGCCGGCGCGCCGGGCGCGCCGCCCGCGCCCGCGCCCGCGCGCGACGCGTTCGCGGACGACGAAGAAGGCGGCGGCGAGGCGCCCGGCGCGCTCGTCGGCGCGGCGCGCGCGGCCTGGGCCGTCCTAGCCGTTGGCCTGCGCCGAATTCAAATCTTCAATCCGACTTCAACGTGAGCTTACCGACCGTCTCGACGCAACGGCTTGTGCGATCCGTGGAGAGCTCGATGAGAGAAACGCACTCGTCCAAAAATCACCCGAATCGACTTCGATCGAACCGAGCTAGAATTTTGAAGTTTGGTGGACCCCCTGACCAGTGGTTGAATTCGCCACAGGCGCGCGCCGCGGCGGCCGACGCGCTCGCCGCCGTCCGGGCTGCGTGCTCGTGCCGCCGCGGCGTCGCCGGCGCGCCCGAGGCCGCGGCCGTGTCCGGCGCGCAGGTCGGCATGGTCGTCGGCGCCGTGAAGCGCGCGGGCGAGGCCCTCGAGGCCCTCGCGGTGGCCGCGCCCGGCGGCGCGGTCGCGAACGTCAACGGCTACGACGTCTCCAGGGTCCGCCTGCTCCTCGCGGCCGCGTCGGCGCTCCGCGCGCTCCGCGCGATGTGCGTCGCGGCGCACCTCCGGCGCGGCGCCGCGCGCGAGAACTTGGACCATGGCCGCGCGCTCGCCGCCATGGCCGAGGTCTTCGCGGGCTTCCGCGCGGGCCGCGTCGGCGCGCGTGACGGGGGCGGCGCCTGCCCCGTCGCCAACTGCGCGGCCCTTCCGGCGCGGCCCGCCGACGGCCGCCGCGTCGGCGGCGACGGCGACGTCCCGCCGGCGGCCGCGCGGCCGCCGTGGACGGCCTTCTCGCGCGACGGCGCGCGTGCCGTCGGCGGGGCGCTCGCCGTCGGCGGCGCGCGGAGTGTCCGCGTGAGCGTGCGCCTGTGCACGGCCTTCTCGCCCGACGACGCGGCGCTCGTCCCGCTCGGCGATATCCGGGCAGCGCGGCGCCGCGTCCCCCCCCTCCTCCCCCGGCCCGACGCCGCGAGCACGTGCACGCGCAGGCGAGCCGCGAGGTCCGGTTCGTCGAGCGCCACGTCGCGTTCGTCGAGACGATGCACGCGCTCCAGGCCGCGCTCCGGGCCGGCGCGCTCCGCGGCCCCGCCGCCGCGGCGATGGGCGGCGCCGCGGACCCGGGCCTCGCGGCGCTCCGCGGCCGTGGCACTCGCGCCGCGCGACGCCGCCGTCGCCGCCGCGGCCTACCTCGGCGCGTGCGTGCTCGCGCTCCGCGCGCGCGTGGCGCGCGGCGAGTGGGAGTTCTTTGAGTGCGCCGCCCGGTGCGCCGCGGGCGATGCGCTCGCCTACGCGCCGCCGGCCCATCTCGGCGGCCTCGGCATCGGCGACCTCGCGCGCGGCGACACGTCCGTGCGCGGCGTGCTCGACCGGATCTGTCGCCTACGGGAACTCGGCGGCGACGTGCTCGCGGAGGCGGCCTTCGGGGGCGACGGCTCGCGCGCCGTCGACCACACGGACGTGCTCGGCCGCGTCCTTCTCCCGAAACGTGTTTTCGAGAGCGCGCGAGAGGTCGAGGCTCTCGCTCCAGGGCCGTGTTCTTCTCGTAGGTGCTCGCACGCTACGACGAGCGGCCCCACGACCGCGACGAGGTCGAGGGCCCTGGCGACGGCCGCCTCCGCGTCGCCCGCGGTCTCGCCGAGGTCGCGCGCGAGGTCCGCCTCGCGCGCGTCGCGCTCGAGGACCGGCGCGTCCGCGCGAGCCTCGGCCGCGCGCTCGACTGCGACACGGGCCGGTGCGACGCGGCCTACTTCCACGCCGAGTCGCCGCGCGCGGACGTGGGCCCCGCGCTCCTCGCGCGCGTCGTCGCGGCCGCGGCCGCGCGGCCGACGTCCGCGTCCGCGATCGCCGGCCGCCACGGCCTCCGCGTCTCCGGCCGCGACGCGCGACTCCTCGCGCGGACCTTCCGCGGCGACGCGGCCGACGAAGACCAGCGCGAGCTGCGCCTCGACGCTGACTACGGCGGCGGCGACGCCGAGTACGCGCGCTTGCAAGGCGTCGCGCGGGCCGCCGTCGCGCTCGACGGCGAGTGGCACTGGGCGCCCCGCCGCGCGAGCCGGGACCGCGGCGCGGCGTGGCCCGGCGACTGCGCCGGCGGCGCCGGGCCGCACCACGCGCAGCTCTCACCCCTCGCCTTCGCCCTGCTCCAGCAGGCGCGGCTCCTCGTCTGCGTCCGCGCCGCGCTCTACGCGGGGCCGACGGGCGCGGCCATCCTCGACGCGCTCCACGGCCCTGACGGCGCGCGCGAGGTCGCGCGCTTCGCCGGCGGCTCCGTCCACGACCGCCTCGTCGACACGGGCGCGCTCGCAGACCGGCTCTGGGTCGACGCGCGCGCCGCGGCCGTCGAGGCCGCGGCCGCGGGGCCCGACGCGGCGGGCGCCGCCGTCGCCGTGGAGATTCGCGCGGACGCGCCCGGCGCGACGCAGCTCGCGCGCGACTCGGCGCTCGCGCCGACGCTTGCGTCGCTCGGCCGGCTTCGGCGCCGCCACCCCGCGGCCGCGCTCGAGCTCGCCTACGCGGCCCTGAGCCTCCACTTCATCCAGTTCTGCGCCGCGGCGCGGGGCGCGCTCGCCGCCATGCGCCTGGCGGGGCCCGTCGGGTCGCCCGGTGCGCGCGCGCTAGACGCCGGCGCCGCGGACCGCGTCCTCGCGGAGGCCTGGGACGGCGCCGCGGGCCTCGGCCTCCGAACGCTTCCCTGCGCGGCGCACGTCGCGGCGACGCTCCGGGCCTGCGCCGACGCGCGGCGGCGCCTCGCGCGCCGCGAGTGGCGCGCGGGCGCCGCAGCCGCGGCGGGGCTCGCCGCCGCCGCCGCCGAGCTCCTCGCGGCGCCCTGGCGCATGCAGGAGTACGAGCACGCTTACGTCGAGCTCGTCGCGGACGACGCCGCGAGGCTCAGCGCCGAGTTCGAGCACCATCGAGTCCTCGCGGGACTCCGCGCGAGCTGCGCGGCCGCGGCCTTCTCGTCGGGCGCGGGCGGCGCGCACGACGCCGCCGAAGACTTCGCCGCGCCGTGCCTCGTCGAGGACCCCGTCGCGGCGGACTTTGAGTACCTCTGGGATTCGCAGGACCCGGGCGTCGCCGCGTGGCGCGCGCGCGGCGGCCCCGGCGTCCCGCGCGGCGCGCCCTGGCCCGCCGTGCCCTTCCTCGAGCCCGGCGGCGCGTCGCCCTGGGCGCTGGACGCGGACGCGCCGTCGATCGTCGAGGACCGCGCGTGGCGGCGCCAGCTCGTCGCGCTGCGCGGCGCACTCGCCGCCGCGCGAGCGCAGCGTCACCGGCTCCCGCGGGACGCGCGCGCCGCGTACGCGACGGCCGCCGCGTGCCTCGCGCTCCACTGCGCGCTTCGCCTCCGAGACTGGCGCGCGGTCAAGGCGGCCCTCGCGCTGCGCCTCCGCGACGGGGGCCTCGACCACGGCCTCCTCGGGCCCCAGACGCGGCTCGCGCGGTCCCTCGCGGACCGCCACGACGCGGCGGAGCTCCTCGCGGCCGCGCTCGCGGACGGCCGGCCGGAGACGCGGCCGCCCGCCGACGCCGCGGACCTCGGCGCGGCCCTCGACCTCGGCCGCGGCGACGGCGCCCGCGCGCGCGCGCTCTGGCGCGAGACGACGCTCGTCTGCGCGCGCGTGGACGTCGTGCGCCTCGGCGCCGCGCTCCGCGTCGCGCGCCGCGCGCGGCCCGCGGCGCGCGGGCCCCGCGAGGCGGCCCTCGTCGCGGCCGCCGAGCTCGCGCTCGCCTGGCGCACGATTCTCGCGCGCCTCGACGGCCCGGCCGCGGCGGCCGCGCCGCCGCTGCCACGCGTCGGCCGCGTGCTCGCGGCCGTGTCGCACTTTGAGGCCGCGGCGCTCTACACGCACTGCCTCGTCGAGCACGGCGAGGTCCGGGCCGCCGTCGCCTACGACGCGGCCGTCCGCACCGTCGTCGCCAAGAGCCGGGCACCTTGGCGTTCACGGAATTTCGGACCAGGAGCGCGCGGGCGTCAGAGTGAGGCGCGGTCGAGCGCAAGTCGCCCGAGCTCGACGCCGCGATCGCGGACCTTCGCGGGTTCCCGCCCGCAAGAGTCGGATACCGTGGCAGCCGAGGTGCCGTGTGACGAGCCCGAACTGCGCCGCCTCGCCAGCATCGCGCGCCTCGGGCGGCGCCTCGCAGCCGCACGCGGTCGCGCGTCGGCGCAGCGCCGGCTCCTCGACGAGGCGCGGCGGCACAAGGTCACGGACTTCCTCGCGCACCTCCACCTCGCGACCAAGTACCACGCGCTTCGGGAGGTTGCGGACTCCTTTGGCCTCGCGCGCTTCGCCGCACACCACGTCGCCGTCGTCCGCGGCGCCGGCGATGACGTCGCCCGTCGCGACCAGGGCAGGACAAGAGAGCGAAATTCCCAACTTCAAAGGCTCCTTTCTCGGCCGGTTTCCACTTTTTTCGGCTGATTTTTGGACGAGCGATCATCTCTCGGAACGGTCTCGAAGCGTGAATGCTTTTTCCGGAACGCGCGCGCGCGGAACACTCACGTTGAAGCGACGTTGAATCACCCTTGTCCTGCCCAGGTCGCGACGCGCTCGAGCGCCTCCGGGACGCGCTCCAGGACCCCGGCGCCGCGTCGCACGTCGCCGACGAGCGCCACAACGACTTCTCCCGCGTCGACCTCGCGGGCCTCGACGACGCGCTCCACCAAGCGAGGGCCGTCGAGCGCAAGTCGCCCGAGCTCGACGCCGCGATCGCGAGCGCTATGGCCGTCCGCGACAAGCGCGCCGAGCTCAAGCGGCGCTTCGCCAAAAGCTGAGGGGAATGTGGGTGAGCGTGCAGCAAGCTGGTCCCCGGGTCAATTGAGGCGCCATCGTATAGACCGTGTCCACAAAATAGAACATTACAAGCTTTCCCTCCCCCTTCAAACAGGGAGGCGCGAGGGGTCTACTAGTACTACTAAGGAACTGCATGCTGAAAACACAACTCACGCCACTCCGGACCCCGGGGAGGCGGCCACGAAAATCCATTAGGATGCTGTTTCCAGGCGGACTACGGTGATTTATCGTGTTGTGACCGTTGTGAGTGTTATCTTGCAGCTGCGTTTTTTCACGGAGAGCCCCAAGCGCCCGCGGGCGCCTTAGAGAGAGAGAGCTCTGAGAGAGTGGTGCATAATGTTAAATAGGGGCTCTGCACTAGAAGGTCCCCGGGCGCGCGCGACTAGGCGCCGGCCGACGATTTCGCCAGCCGCTCCTTCCGGTCCTTCGTCGCCTTGGGCGTGAACAATTCGCACTCGAGGTCGTAGACGCGCGGGAAGGGCGACTTGCCCGGCTCGAAGCCCGCGGTCACAACGTTCGCCGCGCGCGCGAGCGCCTTGGGCGTCGGGTACCACGCGTCGTCCGACTTCTTCGGCAGGAGCCGCTGGTCCGCGAGGAGCGCGGCCGCGACCTCGCAGCACTTGAAGCACTCCAGCAGCTTGCGCGGCGCGTATCTGTGGAAGTTTATTTGGGGCAGGAGGCACTCGCACTCGCGCGGCTCCTGCTCCGGGGGGTCCGGGAGCCGACACGTGAGCTCGGCGACCCTCACCTTGGCATAGCGCTCGTTGGCGCGGGCGCAGTTGGCCTCGAGGCGGGCCTCGGCCGTCGCGTAGCGCGGGACGAAGTCGGGCTGCTGGTTCGGGAAGCGCAGCGCGTGGTCGAGCTGCTCCTGCTCCGAGAGCGCGGCCCACCACGCGTCGCGGCCGTCGCGCGCGCCCTGCATGTGGTCCAGCTGCTCCTGCTCCGAGAGCGCGTCCCACCACAGGCGCATGAAGCCGCCGGGCTGCCACGCCTCGACCATGCGCTGGGAGCGCACGTCGTGGACCTGCGAGCGCGCATCGTCGTCTCGGCGCAGCGCGCGGTGACGATGCGATTGGCGTTTTCTCGCATCCTCAACATTCGATGATGCCGTGAGTGGAAAAAAAGGGCACTTTTTTCATGCTGGCAGAGACCAAAAAAAGAGAAAAAAAGAGGAAAAAAAAAGAAAAAAACCGGCGCCGAAGGCGCCGGAACGGCGCCGGAGGCGCCGAAGAGGCGCCGAAGGCGCCGGAGGCGTAAAAGAAAGAAGGTGGGGACCTTGCTGCGTCCCTCGAACTCCGTGAGAGTAGTACCGAAGCACCATCATCATGAGTGGTCCTGTGCTGAGAAGATGCCCAAAATTGGCCTGTTTGGCCAAAAAAAGTAGCTGGCCTGCGACCAGCAAGCCCAGGAGGAGCCGCGAGGCTCCAGGGGCGTAGGTAGGAGAAACACAACGGGGCTGGCAGAAAGCCAGCTGGGCCAAGCTGCCGCTCAAACGAGCCATATTGGCATGAATTTAGGTGAAAATACAGCCGTTTTGGGACCCTGGGCGTGCCAAAAGGCTCTCTCTGCATCTGCCCAGCAACCCGCGGCGACGTTCGTAACTGGCGATGGACGCGCGACCGACAGAGGCCCCGAGCGAGGCGCGGACGGGGCCGCATCAGGGCCGCGGTGGCCGTCCGCTGGTTCTCGGTCGCGACGATCTCGGCGAGCGTCGCGCGGCGCGCGGTCGTCCAAAACCGTGAGGGTCGCCCTCGACGAGCTCCATGATGCCGATGCGTCCGACGGAACACAGCGATGGTGATCGGTCGATGCAAAATTGCGCGCGGACGGCCGAGCGGCGCGTCCTCGCGCGACGGCGGAGCGAGTTCGCGGCGCGCCGCAGCCGGATTCCCAGCGATTTCCAACAATTTGTTGTTGGAGCGCGTCGAACAACATACGGTGGGCGTGTCTGGGCCGCCGGTACGGTCCACGGCGTCGGCGGGCGCCGCCCTGGCCCTCGGCGCCACGGTGTCGCGCTACGGCGGAGCGAGTTCGCGGCGCGCCGCGGCCGGATTCCCAGCGATTTCCAACGATCTTTCGGCGGAGCGCGTCGATCAGCATACGGTGGGCGTGTGTGGGGCGCGGGTACGGTCCACGGCGTCGGCGGGCGCCGCTCTGGCCCCGGCGCCACGGCGTCGCGCTCGGTCCGAAACCGTTGCGGCTCGCGCCGCCGGCACCGAATTGGTGCGCGCCGCGGGTCAGCGGCGTCCATGTGAACCCCTAGGACACGGTGTGACCGCCGGTGGGCCTCCAGGGGGCGCACACATCGCAAGACTTGGCCTGTCGGAGCCTCATCCTCAAACGCCGACACTGTCGGCGTTTCAGCTCCACCCCCGGCCAGCACGAAATAGGTGCCGTGTCCAAAAAAAGCGAGATGGTGCGCTGCGCCGCGCGGCTTTAATAATATCAGGGTCGATGCGGTCGAAGCAGCGCGTGAAGAACGTGATGCCCGAGCCTTCGAGGAGCTGCACGCCGCACGCGCGCGCGATGTTCGTCGCGCAGTCGTCCAGCGCGACGTGCTCCAAGCGCTCGGTCTCGAAACCAGACTTGTCGAGCTCCTCGGCCGTGATCTTGGCGGCCTCGAGTTTGCTCGGGCCGCGGTGCCACTTGTCTGGGTGCATGATCATCCCTATCACCTTGACGGTAGAGAGAGTCGACCAGAAACAATCGCAGAGCTTGCGCGACTCCGCGCCGACGCCGACGACGCGCGCCGGCGCGCCTCGCGCGCAGGCGTGCAGCTCGAACATGGCCATGATCATCAAATAGTATTGCTTGAGGAGACCCCCGGCTTTCGCCTTGGCGTCCCCTCCCGAAGCGCGTCGGATGATCTCGACGAACTCGGCGTCCGGGCCGTGCTCAGTCACCTTCGTGATGAGCGGGATGCGGTCCATGACGAGCAGCTTAGCGGCGATCGTGCTCGCGTCCGCCTGCTTTATCATTTCAAATTTCTCGAAGGCTGTCCACTGGCCTTGGCGGAGCCATATCACGCAGCCGTTCTTCGGGTTCGTGACTCCGTTGCCCGGGTGGTTCGTGGGCACGTCAAAGTTCATGAGGAGGAAGACGCAGATCTCGCTCACGATCTCCTCCGCCGTCGCGGCCGGGAACGACCGGAGCTCGAAGACGCCGAGCTTCCGCGTGAGCTCGTCCGTGATGCTGCGCTGGTTGTTGACGAGGTTCACGAAGAACGCGCGGCGCTCGTCGCCCGACGACGGCGCGCCCTCCGTGAGGCCCGCGAAGGCCGACTGCAGGTCGGCGATGAAGACGTCGTCGACGTTCACGCGCTCGAAGGTCTTCTCCTTCTTCGTCTTCTTCTCCGCGGACGACGACGCGGCGCCGTTCGTGACGTCGTCGAAGGCCTTGCGCTTCGCCTTCTTCTTCTTCGTCTTCTTCGCCGCCGCCTTAGGCGGCATATTAGTAGAGCGTGACTTAGTTCTCCTCTACTTCGTCGACGTCACGCGCGCGCGGGGCTGATGAACCCCGCCCCTCCTTTCTTGTGCTTCAGGCCGGCCCGCTTCCCTCTCCGAGTCTTGAAGTAGGTTTTTTGTTGCTGGAGGATGGCGTCGATGGGGGCGGGGGACGCGGCGCCCTACACGCGGGACCGGCGCGGGTCGTGCTCGTGCTCGCGGCTCCGAGCGAACGGACGAGCCCCGAGCGAACGGACGCGCGCGCCGCGCGCGGACGACGGGGAGGTGGCGGACCGGCGGGCAGACGGCGCGCGAGCGACGGCGTGCGCGAGCGACGCGCGCGAGCGACCCGTCGTCTCTCGAGGGCCCACCCTCCGGGGCCACGAGAGGACCGCGCGCGGACCGACGCCTGGCCCGAAGGTTGTGGCGACGGCCGCGCTGCGAATTCCAGCTCGGGCCCTCCGGGTGGGGGCTGCGCGCCCTCGCGCGGGACTCTCGAGGGGGGGAGGGGCGGGAGGGGCGGCGCACCTTCGGCGCGAAGACACTCTGGTCGCCGCGCGCCGTTACCGCCGGCGGTCGGCGGCGCTTCGCGGGCGGCGGCGAGGGCGCCGACGCGGGCACCGACGCGACGAGCGCGCGGACGAAGGAAGGACGCGACGCCGCCGGCGTCGGCGTCGGCGCGAGCGCCTGGGCGAGGAGGTCGAGCGGCGTAGCGCGGGTGCGAGTGCTCGAGGCCTCGACTGAGTTTCAGCGCTGCCAAAAGCCAACGTCGCCTCGAACGCTGATTGGCCAAGCTCAAACGCCAAGGCTGCCCGCGCCGGCTGGGTCCAAAGCGGGGCCACCGCCGCACGGCGACGCGCCGCAGCCCGAATCCATTGGGGCGAAAAAACGGCACTTTTTTCATGCTGGCAGAGACCAAAAAAGAGAAAAAAAGAGGGAAAAAAAAGAAAAAAACCGGCGCCGGAGGCGCCGAAGAGGCGCCGAAGGCGCCGAAGGCGTAAAAGAAAGGTGGGGACCTTGCTACGTCCCTCGAACTCCGTGAGAGTAGTACCGAAGCACCATCATCATGAGTGGTCCTGTGCTGAGAAGATGCACAAAATTGGCCTGTTTGGCCCAAAAAAGTAGCTGGCCTGCGACCAGCAAGCCCAGGAGGAGCCGCGAGGCTCCAGGGGCGTAGTTAGGAGAAACACAACGGGGCTGGCAGAAAGCCAGCTGGGCCAAGCTGCCGCTCAAACGAGCCATATTGGCATGAATTTAGGTGGAAATACAGCCGTTTTGGGACCCTGGGCGTGCCAAAAGGCTCTCTCTGCATCTGCCCAGCCTCCCGCGGCGACGTTCGTAACTGGGGATGGACGCGCGACCGGCAGAGGCCCCGAGCGAGGCGCGGACGGGGCCACATCAGGGCCGCGGTGGCCGTCCGCTGGTTCTCGGTCGCGACGATCTCGGCGAGCGTCGCGCGGCGCGCGGTCGTCCAAAACCGTGAGGGTCGCCCTCGACGAGCTCCATGATGCCGATGCGTCCGACGGAACACAGCGATGGTGATCGGTGGATGCAAAATTGCGCGCGGACGGCCGAGCGGCGCGTCCTCGCGCGACGGCGGAGCGAGTTCGCGGCGCGCCGCAGCCGGATTCCCAGCGATTTCCAACAATGTGTTGTTGGAGCGCGTCGAACGACATACGGTGGGCGTGTCTGGGCCGCCGGTACGGTCCACGGCGTCGGCGGGCGCCGCCCTGGCCCTCGGCGCCACGGTGTCGCGCTACGGCGGAGCGAGTTCGCGGCGCGCCGCGGCCGGATTCCCAGCGATTTCCAAGATCTTTCGGCGGAGCGCGTCGATTAACATACGGTGGGCGTGTGTGGGGCGCGGGTACGGTCCACGGCGTCGGCGGGCGCCGCTCTGGCCCCGGCGCCACGGCGTCGCGCTCGGTCCGAAACCGTTGCGGCTCGCGCCGCCGGCACCGAATTGCAGCGCGCCGCGGGTCAGCGGCGTCCATATGAACCCCTAGGACACGGTGTGACCGCCGGTGGGCCTCCAGGGGGCGCACACCTCGCAAGACTTGGCCTGTCGGAGCCTCATCATGAAACTCCGACAGTGTCGGAGTTTCAGCTCCACCCCCGGCCAGCACGAAATAGGTGCCGTGTCCAAAAAACCGGCGCCGGAGGCGCCGAAGAGGCGCCGAAGGCGCCGAAGGCGTAAAAGAAAGGTGGGGACCTTGCTACGTCCCTCGAACTCCGTGAGAGTAGTACCGAAGCACCATCATCATGAGTGGTCCTGTGCTGAGAAGATGCACAAAATTGGCCTGTTTGGCCCAAAAAAGTAGCTGGCCTGCGGCCAGCAAGCCCAGGAGGAGCCGCGAGGCTCCAGAAGCGTAGTTAGGAGAAACACAATGGGGCTGGCAGAAAGCCAGCTGGGCTACGCTGCGGCTCAAACGAGCCATATTGGCCTGAATTTAGGTGAAAATACAGCCGTTTTGGGACCCTGGGCGCGCCCAAAGGCTCCCTCTGCAGCTGCCCAGCAACCCGCGGCGACGTTCGTAACTGGCGATGGACGCGCGACCGACAGAGGCCCCGAGCGAGGCGCGGACGCGGCCGCATCAGGGCCGCGGTGGCCGTCCGCTCGTTCTCGGCCGCGACGATCTCGGCGAGTGTCGCGCGGCGCGCGGTCGTCCAAAACCGTGAGGGTCGCCCTCGATGAGCTCCACGATGCCGATGCGTCCGGCGGAACACAGCGATGGTGATCGGTCGATGCAAAATTGCGCGCGGACGGCCGAGCGGCGCGTCCTAGCGCCGGGTCTATGCGTCGAAAGCATGGACCGATCGTCGCATCGGCAATTTCCGGGTCCGAGGCCCGATGATTTGCTGGAGTCCGTCTAAGTAACAGCTACCGAAATGCTTGGTGGTCGTCGGTCCGGGCCCGAGGCCCGATGATTTGCTGTAGTCCGTCTAAGTAACAGCTACCGAAATGTTTGAGGATGAGTTGCCGTATTCCGCATAAGTAACAGCTACCGAATTGAACTCTAGTCCCGCTTCAGCGATCCGTGCCCTTGCGCCAGATCGCGCGCACGTCGTCGGTGCGAAAGCGCTGCGTGCAGTCGCACGCGGCGAGAGGCGTCCGCGCGCCGTGCTGGTATGCGAAGATGCCCGCCTGGGCGATCATGGCGCCGTTGTCGATGCAGTAGCGCTGGTCCATCTTGCAGCACGCGCCGCCGCGGCCGCGGGCCATGTCGGCCATCATGGCCTGGAGGCGCGCGTTGCAGCCGACGCCGCCGACGAGGAGCACGTCCTTGCGGCCACAGTGCGCCATCGCGCGCTCCGTGACCTCGACGAGCATCGCGAAGATTGTCTCCTGGAGCGAGAAGCAGAGGTCCTCGGCCGTCGCCGCGCCCGGCGAGGGGCGCCGCCGCGCGCGCGCCTCGGCGTGCGTTAGGAGGCCGCTGAACGACACGTCCATGCCCTTGACGCCGTAGGGCAGCGGGACGAGCGCGCGGCCGCGCGCCGCGGCGCGCTCGACGTTGAGGCCCGGCGATGGATCGTTGCTCAGGCCAACGGCGCGCGCGAACCGGTCGAGGCAGTTGCCGACGGCGATGTCGACGGTCTCGCCGAAGATGCGGTAGCGGTCGCCGCTGTACGCGAGGACCTGCGTGTTGCCGCCGCTCACGTAGAGCACGACGGGGTCGCTCGCGGCTGTGGCGACGCGGCCCATCTCGATGTGCGCGACGCAGTGGTTCACGGGCACGAGCGGCACGCGCCAGAGCCGCGCCTGGGCGGGGGCCGACGTCGCCGGGCCGGCGTCGACGCGCGCGCGCGCGCGCTCGGCGCCTCGTCGGGCGCCCGCCGGGCGGCGCCCGCCCGTCCGGACAGCGGCCGACGCGACCGACGCGACCAAGCTCGCGCGATCCAAGGCGTCGCCGGGCGACTTGCGGCCCGCCGGCCGTGTCGCGCGCCGGAGCCGCGCCGCGACCCGCGCCGCGACCTGGGCGGCGCGCGCGTGGGACGCGCCCGCGTTCCCGGGCCGCCCGTTTCGACCGCTTTCGCGCGACGCGGCGCGCGCTCGGACGAGCGATCGCGACGAGGCGGGCCCTCGACGCGTCGACGCGTTCTCCGGCGCGCGGCGCGCCCGCGTCGACGCGACGTCGACGACGCGCCATTTCGCGTCGGCGCCGGCCGGTACCGCGCACGACGCGAGCGGTCCGCCCATGCCCGGCCTGCGAGCGCGCGCGCGTCCCGCGCCGGTGCCGGAGCGCGGCCGCAGCCGCGCCGTCGCGCCGGGAGCCCGGCGGGCGACGTCGTCTCGGCTGGCGCGGCGGCGCGCGGCAGCGCGCAGCGGCGCCCCCGGCCGGCTTCCCACACGGCGCCCGACCCGCGCGTGTAGCACACGCAATCCACGTCCTCGCCGCGAACGCCCGCGTCCGCGAGGCACCTCGCAATGAGCGGCGCGACGCGGCGCTGGTGGTGCCGCGCCGTCTCCCGCCTGCGCACGCGCGTCGGTCGCAAGTCCGCGGGCTCCGGACGAGGCGACGGAGGCGCCGACGCGCCTCCGTCGCCCGTCGAAAGCGGTGCCTCTAGGCTCGAGCCGAGGCTCCGGAGCCTCGGAGGCGCCCGCGGAGGCACCCGTGCGCCGACACCGTCTCCCGCGGGCGGAAGCCGCTCCCCGGCGGCGTCACGTACGTCTCGCGCGGATTGGAGAGGATCGCATACTCGCCTGCGAGCGGCGCGCGCTCGTGCGGGCGGTGCGCGCTCGCGCGGGCGGCGCGCGCGCGGGTCTCGTTGCGCGCGAAGACGTCGCGCCGCCGCGCGCCGCTGCGACCGTCGTAGCGAACGATGCCAACGCCTACCTTGTTCGCCGAGCCCTCAATCCCGAGGGCTACGACGGTCTCGTCCGCCCTCAGGGGGGGCAGGTTGTCGACAAGGAACATCGACCCGGACGAGGCCCGCGACGTCGAGGCCCGCGACGTCAAGCCCAATTCGGTAGCTGTTACCCGACGGACCGCAGTGAACTATCGACGACGGACTGTTAAGCCCAATTCGGTAGCTCTTACGCGACGGACCGCAGTGAACTATCGACGACGGACTGTTAAGCCCAATTCGGTAGCTGTTACCCGACGGACCGCAGTGAACTATCGACGACGGACTGTCTTAGGTCCCGGCGGACTGTCGCCCACGTATCTTGTTGGTGCATTTACGGAGTGCACTGCAACATCAAGAATTTGTTCAAGCAGGCCGTCGGAACGCCGTAGGGGAGGCGCATCACAGGCCCGAGCATCGCAAGTTTAGAAAGAAGCGCACGCCCTCACGCGGCGTCGGCCTGGAGGAGCCCGAGGACGTCGCCGCGGCGGTGGGCCTGGATGGGCATCTTCGCGCGGATCTTGGCGATCTTGTCGAGGTCGATGTCGACGGTGACGAGCGCGGGCGACGCGTCGGGCCCGCAGTCGCCGACGACCTCGCCCCAGGGGTCGACGGCCAGCGCGTGGCCTGCGACGGCGAACGACCTCGCGCGGCGCCGTACGAGACGAGGTCCGCGGACGCGGGCCGCGCGCCGTAGGACGCGCGCTTCTCGTTGTGCGTCCCGCTCTGCGCCGCGGCGAGGACGTAGGCCTGGCTCTCGACGGCGCGCGCGCGGAGCAGCAGGTGCCAGTGCGCGGCGCCCGTCGGCCGCGTGAACGCGCTCGGCGCGAGGATCGCGTGGCAGCCGCTCGACCGCGCGAGCGCGACGTAGAGCTCCGGGAAGCGCAGGTCGTAGCAGGTCGTGAGGCCGAAGGTGAAGCCCAGCTCGTCGCTCGCGTCGACGACGACGCACGCCGCGGCGCCCGGCGCCGTCGACCGCGACTCCATCAACACTGGCCCGTCGGGCACGTCGACGTCGAAGAGGTGGATCTTGCGGTACTCGGCGCGCGTCGCGCCGGCGGCGTCGAGCACGACGTGCGTGTTGAAGACGCGGCCGCCGGGCGCGCCGGCCTCGTGGAAGCCCCCGAGACTCAGCCAGAGGCCGTGCTCGCGCGCGAGCGCGCGGTACGCTCCGAGCCGCGGGCCGTCGAGCGGCTCCGCCTGGGCGACGGTCTCGGCGGCCGCCGCGCCGATGAAGGAGAAGGCCTCGGGCAGGCAGAGCAGGCAGGCGCCGGCGCTCTTGGCTTGCCGGCACAGCTGCGACGCCGCCGCGAGGTTCGACGCGTGGTCGGACGTCGCCGTGAGCTGGCCGACGCCGACGCGCCGCAGCACGCGCGACAGTTGCGCGCTCATTGGTTGCGGCGCGCGGCTGCAGCGGTGCAGCTCTGCGATGCTGATGCGCGCGGCGGAGGCGCAGGCCTGGGCCGACTCGGAGACCTTGGCCGATTGTTCAAAGTTGTGCACATCACCTGTAAGGTGAAGTGCAACCACCTGGTCCAGGAGGAGTCTCCACTGGACTCTCCCTTAAAAAAGCACAATCTTAGTAGTCGCTCGAGTGGAGCCACTCGTCGCCGTCGTCGCCGGCGCCGTGGCGGAGGCGGTGGTGCGAGCCGACCTGGGCGAGGCGCTTCGGCCCGAGGTTGCCGAGCTCGGGCTCGGCCTCGGCCTCGTGGACGGCGACGTGGACCGACTCCACGCGGAAGAAGAGCGGCACGGACACGACGAAGGCCTTGGTCTTGCGCGCGTTGGACGAGACCTCGACGTCGACCGTGCCGACGAACTCGCCGCCCTGCGTCGGCGACGGCTCGATGAGGAGCTCGACGTGGCGCGTGAGGCCCGGCACGAACGGGTTCGGGTCGAAGATCGCGCGGACCGCGGCGCCCGCGTCGCCCGTCTTGCGCAGGTCCGTGACGACGAGCGTCTCCGCGCTCCGGTTGAGCACGCAGATGCGCACGCCGTAGCGCTGGCCCCGCTCGAGCGTGCCGCCGTCGACGCCGAGCGCGTCGAGCGGCACCCAGTGCTGCGCCGCGCGGAGACTGCAGTAGGGCTCGAGGAAGTTGGCCATGTCCTTGTCGAAGGACGCGAGGAGCACCTGGGACGCGACGCTCAGGAAGTTGACCTTGTTCACCGTCGTGAAGTCGTCCATCTTCGGCGCCTTGGCGAGGAGGCTCAGCTGCGCGACGAGAAGACGATCGCGGCGCGCGACGCCTTCCGCGCGCGCTTCGCGATCTCCTCCTTCTTCTCCTCGAGGGCCTTGCGGCCGTAGCCCATCTCGAGCTCGCCGGCGCTCCGGAAGTTGACGTGGCGCTGCGTCTCGCGGCCCTGCGTGCGGATGTGGTGCCGGATCTTCTCGACGTGCTCCAAATCGAGGAACCGGATGAGGTGCTGCACCGCGAGCTGGGGCTGGCCGATGGCCTTGGTCGCGTAGGCGACGAGGGCGATGCGCACCAAAATCATGAGGAACTCCTCCAAATCCAGACCCGCGTCCCGGAGGCTCTGGTCGCCGTCGCCCGCGTTGCCGGCCGACCGGTTGCACTTGGCCGTCGCGACCTTCCAGAGGTACTGGAGCGTGGACTTGGACGCGAGGCGCGGCACGATCTTGAAGTCGCGGCAGAAGCAGATGAGCTCGAAGAAGCTCACGCGCTCGTTGCAGTTCTTGATCTCCTCGTACGTGAGGCCGCGGCCCATCTGGAAGCCGGGGCTCTGCAGCTTGCTGTAGAACTCGAAGATGAGGCTCAGCGACCCGCCCTGCTCCTTGGGCGGCGGCGGCGCCCGCGTCTGCGACCCGGGCACCATGCCGTCCCGCAGGTTGTACTCGCAGCCCACGACGACCTTGGGGTCCGCACGCGCCTGGATGACGCCGGACACGACCTCGTCGCCGAGGCGCCGGAACTTGCGCTTGAGCTTCCCGAAGGCGACGCGCGCCTCGGACTCGCTCGCGGGGCGCGCGAGCACGCGCTGCATGATCTCCGACAGCTCGTAGTCCGACGACATGCCACCGCCCGGGCTGCCGAGAGCCATCTCGCGTCGTAAGCCGTTGCGCTTATTACATGTTTACTTTACTTGTTTACCTCAGTCACTTGCAGCTCATTAATACTTCCATCGTTTGTGTCCGCTGCGGGCTGCCCCCGAGCGCGTCTCGCCATGCCCATCGAAGACCGAGATACGCGCTCGACGCCGGCCTCGGCCCCCGAGGAGCTCACGAGCGAGGCGCGTCGCGACGGCGGCGCGCGCGCGCTAAAAAGAGAGACGCGCGCCCCCGCTCGCAGCTGCTCGCGGCGATCACGGCCAAGGAGTACGAGCGGGCGTCGTCCCTCGTCGAGCGAGGTGCGTCCCCGTGCTCGCGCGGCGCGCGCGCGCCGACGCCCGCCGCCCGCAGTGCTGACCTACGAGCCGGCGAACGAGCTCATGCTCGAGTACCGCCAGGTGCTCCAGCGGGCGATGAAGCAGCAGGAGGACGACGACGAGGATGACGAGGACGACGACGACGACGATGAGGACGACGACGACGACGACGACTCGGAGTCGGACGACGAGGCGGAGAACGAGCACAAAAACGGCGACGCGTCTCCGAGGAAGAAACCGCTCGCCGAGGCGAACCACCCCGGTGCGCGCGCGCGGCCGCCGCCGCTCCGCGAAACCGCGCGTCCCCGGCGCAGTCGTCACGCAGGAGGAGATGGAGGCCGACATGCTCAAGTTCGGCATCCGCGGGACCAAGGAGGCGCGCGCGCCGCGTCGCTCGAGGGGGGCCGCTCGCCGGAGACGCGCGCGCGCGCGCCGCAGGAGCTCATCGAGAACCTGCGGTGGATCAAGAACAACAAGCCCGACACCGTGGGCTCGAGCCACCGCCGCGAGTCCGTGCTGCCCTTCGACGACTTCGAGTACCCGGAGCTCTCGAAGCACGCGCGCGGCGAGAGCAAGGACGCGTCCTACGACGAGGAGAAGGAGGAGGGCAAGGCCGAGGCCAAATAGGTCGGACGTGTAAGGAGGCCCACGCGTGTGCTTTATGACGGAGGCGCGCGCCGCGGCCTAGGACATCGGCGGCGGGCCGACGGACGAGACGTCGAGGTTGCCTGCGGGACCGCCGCGTCGCGGAACGACAAAAACGTCGCGGGGACGACAAACACTGCGCGAAAGACGCGGGAGGCGCGCTGCCGATGAGCGGGAAGAACAGGAACAAGCACAGGGAGCCGAAGAGGAAGGGGAACGCGATGTAGAGGCCGATGTCGAAGCCGTCGGCGCCGGACGAGCCCGGGATCAGCCCGCCGAGCGTCGCGGCCTTTTGCTCCGCCTCCGTCGCCTCCCAGGACATCATCTTGTCTTTCAACGCCGCGCTGACCTCCTCGTCCGACGGCTCCGCACCGGCGGCCGGCGCCGCCTCCGTCGTGGCGGCCTCGGCGACAGCCTCGTCGCCTTCCGCTCGTCGCAGGGACGGCGCCCGCACGCGCGCGGGCGGCGCGAAGGCGCGCGTCGCGGAGATCGCGGCGAGGAAGAGGACGGCGCCGCGCATGGCGTCGAGAGATCGCGCGACTTGCTCTGACTGAGGAGCCGTGCTGAGCAAGCCGAGGCCGCGGCGA